GGTGTATTTCATATGATTCTGAGTCCAGTCAAGTAATAAAGAAGATGGATCATCATGGCAAGTTGAAGTTAGACAGTGCTATTTACTCTAGCAGAGTGAAGGTTCCCTTTAGACCCGAGTCTAAAATATTCAGATTCCTGTTTCCAGTTGTCCAGGGACACAGCTCTGCACTGTCAGGGCAGCACAGGTGTCTGTACTCAAGCACTTTCCAGAAGTGCTTCTGATAATTTATAGTTGTCTAAAAATTATGAAAATCATAGCTGAGAAAAAAAAACAATGCGCATGATGTATTTGATGAGGGCATGCAGTTAATTCTCTTTTGAAATGTAAATATTCTTTTCAAAACCAAAAGGATGATGAATGAATAATAATGACTGTCTCAGCGTTTTATAGTTCACAGTGAAGGAGTCGAGAGCCTATGTGGAGGAATGTTATGGTAGGCTACATCTTGCCATGGCTGTGGAGAGCGAGACCCCTGAGAATGTCTTTAAAAATTTAATTACATTTATTTTTATTTTGTTAAGCATTGCTATGTTAAAGCTGTGTGTGTGTGTGTGTGTGTGTGTGTGTGTGTGTGTGTGTGTGTACATATGCAGAAGCAAGTTCCACTGAACACATATTAAGGTCAGGGAACAACTCAAAGGAGTCAGTTCTCTGCTTCAGGGAGATTGAACTCAAGTTGTAAGACTTAGCAGCAAGCACCTGTACTCTGGAACTCCCTCACCAGCCTTTTATTAGATAGTTCAGAGTGGGGGTGGGGTATGGAACTCTAGTAGATGGGTCTAGCTTTGCTCATTGACAACACTCCAATCTCCAGAAATTTGGGGGGTTACTTATAATCTGTGGTCGTATGAACAGAAGCAAGAAATACTGGTGATAGATTTGTGTCCAGTTTGAGTTGGTCATTGTGTGATTACTTCTTGGTTCTGTGATAAAATATCCTGGTGAAACTACTTAATCAATAAATAGGGGCTTCTGATACTCAAGGCCATCTCTTCACGGTGAGTTCCCAAACAGGACATTGTAGGTAACATATTGTGGTCACTCCAGAGACAGCCCCTTGTCTGCTTATCTACAGAGTGCTTGGGGAGACCATTTTACTGAAGTCTACTTTCTCCGCGTGAGATCACATTTGTTTTAGTGAGGGTTTGGATCAAGATCCCGATCACTGTAGTCTCACTCATCGATGGTTTCACTGCAGCTTCCACACACTAGATCAGAAGTGCCATGGGAATATTTAGTGTGTGCCCTAGAGTAGTCCTGAATAATCAGATAGTAAGGGAGATGAGTTCTGGTTCAGTACGTCTAAGTACCAGGTCGCAGTTCTTAAGAAAAGAACTCCTTTTTTTGAGGTACGGGATCTGGATACAATCAATGGGTTAGCTATTTCCATGATCAAGAGGGATGAAGAAAGGGAAGCCTTAATGAGTGTTGTGGACTGTCACCAGGTCAGGATTGGATTCTGCTGAGTGGAGTGGCAGGCACTTTCATGGAATGCTTTCCCACTGAAGTGCTCTGAGAAACACCTCACTATCCAGTAGACATCCCACAGGATTCTCACAACCTCCAGATTCTCAAGACACTGGTTAAATCAGGAGAGGTGTTTTCTATGAGGGAACATTTGATGATGACTGGAAATGTTTTTTATGTCAGGATGAGAGAAGATGCTTCTAGTATTGACAATATAGGGTTCATGGAAAGTGCCGGGTATCCTATAACACAGAGGGCAGATTCCTTCTCACTGAAAAGAAAGATGAGACTCAAAATATCAGTACTGCCTAGGCTGGGAAATCTTACTGTAAGATAAAGAAGTTATTACATTAGTCATTTGTAGCTACTAGAACAAAATACTGAAGACTGGGAGCTCATGAATAGCAAAAAAGTTGGTTTCTTGTAGTTCTGGGAAGTCCATGATCAAGGCCCAAGAACTGGATCTGTCAGGGATGTTTTATGGTTCATTACTGGAGGAGGAGAACCCATGACTTTGGTTCTACTTTGTAATGGTACCAGTCACATTTGTGAGGACCCGTTCTTGGCCTAATCATCTCCCTTGGTACCCTACATCCTAACGTCGTCCCTTTAGGATGTTTCAGCATAGGCTCTTGGCACACCATATGGACCACAGCACAGCCCAAGGAGCATAAGATCTTGCCATGTAGATCTCAAAGACAAGGATGCATGCAAGGTGGTGACGTTTGGCTGGAGAGAGAAATAACAAAACAGCATGGATGTTTCGATGTAGGACCCCTTAGGCTGATTCCTACAGGAAAGGCAAGAAACACTGATACCCAAGCCTGAATCTTGGGCTTCCACATCCTGTGAATCCTGCTCCATTCACTCATCAGGCGTTCTATGCAGTCTCACAAGAGATTTCATCTACAGAGGGTATTTTGTTAGGAAATAACCCAAATTGAAGTTTGAAAAATATAAAACAAATTTGTAAGTGAAAAATGCTTTTCAAAATGAGGTTTTTCAAAAAAGTTGAAGAATCATGTCTCTATTGCCTATGAGTTTTGAAAAAAAATAACCTGTGAGAAAATGATGCAAGTGTGAGAATATGTTTATAAAAAGCGTCTCAAGCACAATGTATTTTAGTAAGTTTGTGGAGAAGACTTACCTTTATTTTAGAACAGATGTGGTCTGTGATGTAATACTATAAGGAAAAATAGATTTATGGAGGATTAGGGTTATAATTTTAGTATAATGAATTACCAATGGATGTAGGGCTTTAAGAATATAATTCACTATCATGAACTTATTTTAAGTGTCTTTATGATCCACATTTTTAATTTTTTTTTGTGTTTTGAGACAGGGTCTTACTCTATGTAGCTCTGGTGGGCCCGGAAGTTACTTTGTAGACCAGACATACCTTGAACTCTCAGAGATCTGCCTGTCTCTAGGATCTGCCTCTTCCATATTGGGATTAAAGATGTGTGCCACCATACCTAGATTATTTTTTAATTATTTAAGTTTTATGTTAAAAGTAATAGAAAAAACGACTAGCAAAAATTCCTCTTCAATTCCTATTTCCTCCTTTCCAACTATGAACCATATCTCTGAAAATACTGTTAATACTTTCTTTGACTTCCTCTCCAGAATATCATTAGGCATATTCATGACAATAAAACTAAGCCTCATTAAATTTTTCTTTAAAAATGTATTTATTTTATGTGTTTGGGTATTTTGCTTGTCCACTCCATTGGGGTGGAGTTAGAGGGTTGTGTGTCTCCATGTAGACTCAATCGAACCCAGGTCATCTGGAAGAGCACCCGGTGCTCTCACTGCTGGGTCATCCCTCCAGACCCTATGCCTTATTTCTTGCTGTAGACAGCCTCACCCTGTTCTTTATCTTGAGAGGCATTTCTCTATCAGTTTCTGGGGGGAGTTTTTTACTTTGCTTTGTTTTTAGGAACCTAGGGTATTTAATTGTTGGAACAAACCATGTCCCCCTTAACTCATCACCTTTAAGGGGGCATTTGCTGCTTCCAACCCTTTATGATTAACTTCACACACGTCATGTCATCTCAGATATTTTGCAGGTGTACCATTGAGCTCAGTTTTGAGTGGAATATTATATCATACATGTGTATATATGCATTAGCAAAATCATTGTGTATCAGAGTTGCGGTGAGGAGAAAGGCATCAGATTAACACATGAAAAAAGCCAGTGGGTGGAAAGACTGGAACCCTTCTCCAGTAGGACTAAATGTAATAGACAGAGCACATGAAAAAAAAAAGTTCAGCTATACAAATTCAGGGGAAGGCCGGTGCTAAGTAAGTGTATCTGGAAGTTTCTCTCCCGCCAGTTCCTGAATAACCATGCAGAGGCTTATATTAATTATATATATTTGGCCAATGGCTCAGGCATACTACTAACTAGCTCTCACACTTAAATTAACCCATTTTTATTAATCTATGTATTGCCACAAGGCCCGTGGCTTACTGGCGATGCTTGGAAATCTTTCTCCTTTGGCAGTTAGATGGCATCTCCCTGACTCCACTTTCTTTCTCTCTGTATCTTTGTTTGGATTTCTTGTCTAGCTATATTCTACCTGGTTGTTGGCCAAATCAGTTGCTTTATTAACCAATGGTAATAAAACATATTCACCGCATACAGAAAGGCATCCCACATCAAGTAAGTGACCTGAAAAGATTTGAACTCACATGGCACAGGGGTATTAGAGCTTCTTCCAAGCTCGGTAGCTCAGTTCTTCCATTCAGTATGCCTTTTTATCCTTCTTAATAAGTTATCTTGTAATGAATTACCAATGGATCTAGTGCTTTAAGAATATAATTCACTATTTTGAACTTATTTTAAACGTCTTTATGATCCACATTTTTTATTTTGTTTTGTGTTTTGAGACAGGGTCTTACTTTATGTAACTCTTCTCTTTCAGAGCCCCAGGGTTCAATTCCCAGCACTCACACAATTCCCAGGGCTCACAGCTTTCTGTAACTTCATTTCCATGGGATCCAATGCCCTCTTTTGGCCTTTGTAGACACTGCGTGCAAGTGGTGCATGGATAGACATGTAGGCAAACATACATAAAATAAATAAAATATTAAAAACCCAGATCATTTGTACATCTGTCACTATATATATGATCCTGGATCAATCCATTGTTCTGGGACAGAACAACCCAGGAGTTTCCCTGAGTGAGCTCCAGCCTCCAGTGTATACCCATTACAGCTTTGCATATCCACACGCAGTGGGAAGGATTTCATGCGATGTATATAGTTGTACTTTATTTCTGTTACCTCACCCTCCCTACTGCTCTTCCCTCTCCTTCCTCACTACCTCTGGCTGGTCCCCCTCCCTCTTTCAAATAGGCCCCTCCCACTTTGGTTTCTCCCCCCTCCATTTGAACCTCTTCCTCACACACTTTTTTTACATTCATGTAAACTTAAACATATAAAGCATACTGCATGAGAAAACACAGCATTTGTCTTACTGAATTTGGATTATTTTGCTTAACACAATAATCTCTGATTTTCACCCATTTTCCTGAAAATGCCACAATTTAATTTTTCACAGCTGAATGGAAATTCCATTGTGTATAAGTATCACATTTTATCTACTCATCTCTACATGTAGGGAAGGTAAAAGTCAAAGTGTTCACTTACCTTGTCTGGGAAAGACTATTTTGTTCTTCCAGGATGGAGCCTAGCATCTTGCTTCTCCCGGGGCTGAGGGTGTACATCTAGGCTGGCTGCATTTTCAGGTTATTGTGAATAATAAACGCAGATGAACAGGTGTCTCTGTAGCATGCGTAGATTCCTTTGGGATTCCATGGCGATGAGGCAGGGTAGAAAGGCATTGAGGGGGCCACGAGAAGAGAGAAGCACATCATCAATGGAGAACCAAGAATTCCCGCCTAGTTACCAGCTGCTTAAGGCTCCTCTCTCTTCCCACATGGAAACCTGTGATTTTTCTAGGAATCCCACAGGCAACCCCATTTACAGGGAAAGGGCTAAACTGTGCAGCCCTCTTGGCTCCTGCTTTCTGCAGCAAGTTATGATTCTATGAAAGGACTGTTCAGAACCGCCTCACTCAACCTCCCTTAGGAAGTCGAGAGAAGGGGTGGGGGTGGGGAGATGCCTTAGCAGCCTTTTGAGATATGGCTTGACAGCTGCATGAGTGGTCTTTGTCACTCATGCTAAGACCCTTAATTGCTTACTGTCCTTTGAGAAGCCATTACCCACCCTGGTAGAGCTTGTTTTCTCTTGGGAAGCATGTATCCCTGATGGGGCGTGTCACTCTGTCTTTCTGAGCTTTCCCCCCTTAACTCTCTTGCAGAGTGTCCCCTGGACTTTGAGGTAGGATCCTGTACAGTCTATGCTGGGTTGACTGCACACTCTTCCTGCCTCAGCCTCTCAAGCTATACTGACGTGCAGCTGCCAACACCAGCAGCCCTTCACATCTTCAAGGGAACAGGGAATTTAGTGGTACCAAGTGGTCTGTATCTTTTCATTTGTTTCTTCTGAGCCTTAATTCAGTCTCATTTAGTATTGATACTGTGATCTTTAAAAATTGCTTTTCTTTGCACTGCACAGCATACATTCTCAGACTCTTTTTCAATTTCTCAAAATCACTTTTGAGATATTTCTTTCACTTTGGTACAGAATTAAGTTTTGCTCCAAAAGACAATATGATAAATCTGTTTTTCACTGTGTAAGCTAAACAAACGTGTGTGTGTGTGTGTGTGTGTGTGTGTGTGTGTGTGTAACATATACATTTGGTTTAAATTATGTTATTTCCATGCTTTTTTTCTTTTTAGGACAGCCTTTCATCTCATAATTTTATGTTTATTTTGTTTCGTTGCTTGTAGTCCTGTAATTTATAAAGGTCTAGAATTCTGTATTTCTATAATTATAACTTTGTGTCTTTCTACATTTTTAGGCATATGACAGTCTCCAAATATGAGTTAGAATTTAATTAGCATCAAATCTTTGACTGTTTTGTGTTGTTATAGCTGAGAGTCAGCAATTGATGCACAGTAATAATTTTCTCACAGTTCTTGAGGCAGGAAAGACCACGGTGAGTCCCTCCTCCTACATGGCCACTTGGAATCAGTCTTCCTTCTTTGTTTTTTTTTTAACTGCAATTTGTCCATCTAATTGGCCTGTTGAGGATGGATGGCCTAGCCTAGCTTTTGGGGGCTTGTAGGACCCAGGCTCTGACCCTAATAATTCTGGTAACCCTGGTCTGATGGCCTCTGAACACCTCACTTCAGACCTTTAGCTCCTTCAAGCCATGGAAGTGCGGTCCTAACACACTCTTTCATCCATTGCTTAACGTTAGCCAAGAAGATCCAGGCGTGCTTCCTTCTCTGGGCTTCTAAATGTGTCTGTTTATGTTACCTAGTTTACATTTTAGGGATGACATTGCTTGCTTTATTGCATCATTCCTGGAATGGCTGCCCTTCTGCACGTGGGCCCTCATTCAAAGAGATTAATTTCTGAACGTTAACTTTAAGTCCTGAACCTCAGTTTTGAACAGAGGCCCCATTTGTTGGTCAGCAGTCTTTCTGTTGGTAAAGCTAGTAACAGAGTTCTACCTGTATCTTTTTGCTACTCATATTTTAATCCATTTTATTTCTCTGGTTTATCTCTTTATGGGTCATCCATTACCTTGGTGGTGGTGGGGAGGTGTCACAGGATGCCAGTGCTGGTTAAGACTTTACAGTTCATGGGCTTTTAACATCTCTGCTACAGACAGTTTCCTCCCCAAATACTACTCATTATGTGCAACCTTTTACAAGTTTCAAGACTAGCTTCATTTTCTCTGCCACACAAATCAAACTGGGTCCAGAAGGACTTTTCTCCACCCGCTTTGCTTACCTCTTTCTGGTCCTGATTGTGAAAGAGGAGAGGTGAGACCTGGGGGAGAGAGAGGGAAGGATGGGGTTTGGTGGGGTATGGGAGGGATGGGGGAGTAGTGTCAGCTCTGCCAGGAAGGGTACCCTCCCTCAGGAATGGATTTCTGTTTTTGCTTGTTTGTTTGTTTTTGTTTTTCAAGACAGAGTTTCTCTGTGGCTTTGGAGGGTGTCCTGGCACTAGCTCTTGTAGACCAGGCTGGTCTCGAACTCACAGAGATCTGTCTGCCTGTGCCTCCCAAGTGCTGGGATTAAAGGCGTGTGCCACCACCACCCAGCAAATTTCTGTTTTAAAGTGATGTTTTTACCTCCCTTCTGGTCTCAGATTTTCCATGTATGGCTTCTTCTGCCTTGCTGCCTCTGCTTCCTTTGGAAGCTTCTGTTTGCACTTTGGAGTCTCAGATTCCAGGGCTCCCAGCATTATTGGAACCGGCACTAAGGCATTTTGTCCCTTCTCAATTGTCCTTTTGTGAGATTTGCAGAGATATTTACACTAGAGGTCTGATTCAACTTTAGAATTTAGTGAGTACAGCACTTTCAAGAGCACAAGAGCCGGGGCCAAATGAGGAACCCCTGGTAAGTTTAGAGGTATCATTCCACCTCCACCCTTATGTGTAATTGTAGATTGGAGAGAGATAATGAGAAACCTTATACAGTACTCATCATTAGTTGTGTGGCTTTTCCCTCCCATGATCAATACACAAGAGTCTCTCTCTCTCTCTGCCCGGCAACTTCTGATGCCCCCTGAAAATCAAGGAAGTCAAACTAGGCAGGTTGGAAAGGCACATTAGGGCAAGGAAGCAGCTAGTTGATATTCTACATTGCAAGCACGATATCTTTTGTGTTGCTAATTTTTTGTGTGTATATGTTTGTATTTGCAGATGTGTGTGTGTGTGTGTAGGCATGTGAGTGTAGAAGTCAAAGGTTGACATCAAGTGTCTTCCTTAGTCACTGTCCACCTTATTTTTTGAGACAGGGTCTCTTACCGAACACTGATTCTACTAGACTGCCAAGCCAACAAGCCCCAGGGACCCACTTGTTTCCACCAAGCCCAGCTCTCTCATTAAGGACATGCCCCACTGCACCTGCACCTGGCTGTTTACAGGGAGATCAAATTCAGCTCCTCCTGCATGGGTAGTGAGCATTTTCCCAACAGAGCCATCTCTCTAGCTTGTGAGGCACGGTGTTTGTGTACTCTGTTTTTCCCATTGTCCCATCATTTCTGTGCTCCCACCTATTTATGCAGAGATATAGCTCAAGGATACTGGGGACTGAGAGCTAGCCTGGCTTGTTTTCAAAACCTAGAGTCAGTGGGCATTGCAGAGCATGGCTACAGCATAAGAGAATGCAACGCTTAATTCTGAATAGTCTCCAAAGCATATGCATTCCCTGAGACCTGATACTTTCACGCATGTGACATTACACACCACCATCCCCACCTCTGAATGTCAAGGACAAAGTTATCTGTGTATTCTTTTTATTGCTGCCTTCCAGAATCACTTAGCTGCTTAGCAACACTCCACTACATTCGTTGAGGTTTTTATCTGTCACGTTGAAAGGAGAAGTGGTTGGGGGACAGACTGAGTCTGGTGGGAATAAATGCAAAAAGATTTCTTTAAAAAAAGGCGGGGTAGGTGGGCACCTTAGAGTATATTAAATCCTGTGCTGGCGGTGACATAGTGATGAATAAGTCACTTGCTTCTCAGTCGATTGAAAGGCAGTAGGCTAGCATTTATTAAACACCTATTATGTGGCAAACATCACATCAGACTTGTTTATTCCCCGTAGAAGCTCCATTGCACTGATGGGTCTGCCCTGTTCTGTAGAGGGCTTGTCTAGGTTCAGAGAGGACTGGAGCCTAGACTTGAACTCTTGACTTCAGAGGGCTCACTCTTTCTCCTGTACCACCCTGCTTACAGCTCACCACAACAGAACTACTGGTATATGTAAGCCATGTGCTTGGACTGGATATGAAACCAGGCAGTCTCGGAGCTCCCCACTTGACTAACCCTGTGTTAAAGTGTCAACTGCACCCCAGCTGTAAGGATGTGGGAGCTATTTGGAGCTCTGTCTGTATCTGGGAAGTATGCGGGAAGAGAAGCAGGGATTGAGAGGTAGATTTGGGGTTCAGGGACGTGTGATTGTCATGAAGATTAAAAACTACTGATAACTTTATTGAGAATGTGTTGCTTTCATTCAGAAAACATGCATGCTACCTGCTCTGCCATCTCTCATCTGTGTGTGTGTGTGTGTGTGTGTGTGTGCGCGCGCGCGTGTGCATGAGCACGTGCTTGTGCATGCATGAGTGCATGGACAGAGGATGGCTTCAGGTGTTTTTCTTAATCACTCTCCACTTTACTCTTTTTACATCTTGTTTTTTTGAGGCAGGGTCTGCCACTGAACATGGAGCTGTCCCTTGTTAGTTAGGCTACACAGGCTGGCCTGCAAGCTCCGGGATCCTCCTGTCTGCGCTCCCCCTGCCCCCCAGTGTGTGACGTATGCTCCGGGCTTGTTACTCCCCAGAGGCAGGCCTCATTCTTGCTGACTTTAGTGTATCTGTGGGAAATGGGGTGCTTTCTGGCCACCCTACCTTAGCATCTCTATTCTAGTTTCGTGACACTTGTTTTATTTTGAGACAGGGCTTCTCTCTGTGACTCAAGCTGGCTTCAAGGCCAGGGCTCGAGCCTCAGCCCCTGGGGTGCTGACATCACGGGTGTGGACCACCACAACCAGCCCTTCCTGCTCTCTTGTGATGAGGCCTCTGCCTTCCTTTGCTCCTCGGTACAGGGCACTGGAAGTAAAACTTTGCAGCCCCATCCCTCTCTGTCATCGTGAGGTAATGTGACTGTATAATTAGACAGTTTAGCAACACTGACATTTCTGTATTTGCACTAGAATTATC